AAAAAGAAAAACAACTCAAAAAGGGCCTCTAGATGCTAATGCAAGCTATTCCTAGGTAGCAACTAGGAAAATTTTTAGTCTAATCTTTATCATTTCAAATTGTCCATAGATTGTTAAGAGGGATTTCCAGTCTACCTATCAATCCATTATTACAAGCCAACTTTTAATGATATCAATCTACAGTAATCTAGCTTGTTTATTCAGCCATTGTAAGGCACTGGCCACTGGGGATACAAAAGTGATTAAGAATGTATGAAGCAGTGAAAGAATAGAGAAAGAGGTCAACTTTCCTGGGGAGATCAGGAAGACTGAGTGGGCTTTTTAAAATTTTATTTTAATGTATTTAATTTCTTTTTTTTTTTGACTAGTTAATGCATTCCCATGATTCAAAATTTGAAAAGAATAACAAAATAATACAAACACTGACAACAATAAAGCCTGGTGAGGATGTGGAGCAATAGGAACTCTCATTCCTTGCTGGTAGAAATGCAAAATTTATAGTTACTCTAGAAGACAGTTCAACAGTTTCTTACAAAACTAAACATACTTTTACCATACTACACAGCAATTGTACTCCTGGGTATTTGCCCAAATGAGCTGAAAACTCACGTCCACACAAGAACCTGCACACAGATGTATGCAACAAGTTTATTCATAATTGCCAAAACCTGGAAGCAACCAAGATGTCCTTCAGTAAGTGAATGGATAACCAAAACTGTACTACATCCAGACAACAGAATATTATTCTACACTAAAAAGAAATGAGCTATCAAGCCATGAAAAAACATGGGAGAACCTTATTACTAAGTGAAAGTGCCTTATCTGAAAGTGATACTTACTGCAGCACTCCAAATATATGACATTCTGGAAAAGACAAAACTATGACAGTAAACAGATCAGTAGTTAACAGGAGTTAGGGGAGAGTAAGGGATGAATAGGCAAAGTACAGAGGATTTTTAGCACAGTCGAACTACTCTGTGTGCTACTATAAAAAGTGGATACATGTCATTATACATTTGTCAAAACCCATAAAATGTACAACACCAAGAGTGAGCCCTAAGGTAAACTATGGACTTTGGGTAACTATGACATGTCGGGCTAGGTTCATCAATTGTAACAAATGTACCTCTCAGTTTGGGATTTTGATAGTGGGTGAGGCTGGAGCATATGGAGGCAGGGAGTATATGGATATATGAGAACTCTGTGTACTTTCTCCTCAATTTTTCTGTGAATCTAAAAGTTAAAAAAACAGTATAGTGAAATGTATTGTTCTCATCCTTGATCCCTGGCTGCTCAAGTGTCCTTTCCACATGCCCAATGTTTCTATTTTCCAGAGTGTACTTCCAGGGATTTTGAGGTATGTGCAAACTATGTATATTATATATCATATCTATTGGTATTATTTCCCTCATTTATCCTCCAGTAGTAGTGTACTACACTGTTTTGCACCTTACTTTTTTCATCTAATGATATACCTGGAAGATTTTTCCATATTGATACAAAAAGAGCATCCTTCTTCTTTTTTATAGCTATAGAGCTTTGTATGAATGAAAAATAATTTATTTAGTAGTCTATTGATAGACATGGAAGATATTTCTAATCTTTGCTATTACAAAAAACTGACAATGAATGACGTTGTACCTATGTCATTTTGCAAATAGGTATATGTATTTGTAAGGATAAAGTCCTAGAAATGGAATTGTTAGGTCAAAAAATACATGCATTTGTAATTTTAATATATATTTCCAAATTTTCCTTTATGTAGAATTGTACCAAATTACACTCCCTATGGCAAAGTATGACTGAGATAGATTCAGCAGGAATGTATAATCAAACCTGTGAATCTTTTCCAATTTTCTTTTAAAAAATAGTGTTATGTTATAGTTTCAATTTCCATTTCTCCCATTACAAGTTAAGCATACATAAATATTTGAAAGCCACTTGTATCTCCTTTTCTTTGAACTGTCTATCTGTACCATTTGTTCATTTTTCTACTGAATTTTTGGTCATTTTCTTACTAATTCACAGGTACTCTTTACATATTAAGGAAATTAGCCTTTATCTGTAAGAGTTACAAAGAGTTTTCTGATTCACTTGTCTTTGGCGCTATATCAAGGGATTTTTGCCATACAGATTTTCTAAAATACACTTGAATTTATCAATGTTTTTTTATAGCTTCAGTAATTTTTGTCACAGAAGACCTTATCACTACAGGTGATTTTTTTTAAACTTCACATAAAAATATTATGACTACTGTTTTCATAGTTACATTTTTTACATTTAAATTTTTGAGTCATTTTTAATTTCTCATGATGCAGGGTAAAAAAGTATAGCTGCACTTCTTTTTTTTCAATTAATCCAACACTATCTTGTTTTCCCACACCATCACCTCTGGTACAAGGTGTCACTTTTATCATATACTAAATTCTTACAGGTATATTCCACTTTTATGGAATATAAAATAAAAATAAAAGTGGAAAAAAATTCCACTTTTATGCTATTTTTCCATTGAATTTTTTTTTACTCTTCATATACCAGTACCACACTGTTTTAATTATTGTAGCCTTATAACATGTTTTAACTTTAGCTAGGTGTGTATCTGTCATTACTCTTCTTCTCCAGGGTTTTTCTAGCCATACTTTCTTATTTTTCTACATTAATTTTAGAATCATCTTGTCTAGTTTGGAAAAATCCTATTGATTAACAATACTGTTGCTAAGGGTAGACCTTAAATGTCCTAATCACAGATACACAAAAATGCTAACTGTGTGAGGTGATATATGATATTAACTAATCTTACTGAGGGAATCATTTTGCAATATGTATATATATATATATGTGTGTATATATATATATGTATACATATATATCAAACCATCACACATATACCTTAAATTGACACAGTGTTCTATGTCAATTATAGTTCAATAAAGCTGGGAAGAATCCTATTGGTATTTCTGTTAGGATAATATTAATTTATATGTTAATATATATATATATGTGTGTATATATATATATGTATACATATATATCAAACCATCACACATATACCTTAAATTGACACAGTGTTCTATGTCAATTATAGTTCAATAAAGCTGGGAAGAATCCTATTGGTATTTCTGTTAGGATAATATTAATTTATATGTTAATTTTGAAAGAATTGATGACTTTAATGGTTTTGAACCTTTCTTCCAAATTAATGATATGCCTGTCTACTTGTTCAAGTCTCTTCTGTTCATTGGTTGTGTTTTTATATTTATTTTACACATCTTGTTTCTTGCTAAGTTTACTCCTAATATGTTATCTTTCTTATTTTACAAATGGAGTATTTTCTTCCATTATGTTTTCTATATTGTCATTTGTTTCTTAGAAAGCTATTATTTTCCAACAGAGCCACCCAATTGAATTATTTCACTATTAGTAGCTTAGTAGCAGTCTTAAAAATTTGATTGTCACTGTTTTTATGGCTTACAATTATGTCTCCTTTGATAGGGATCATTTTACTTATTCTTTTCTGATTTGTATTACTTGCATCAAAAGATTTTGACTAGTATCTTGGCAACAACAACTGTGGTGATAATGAACACCTTTATCTTGTTCCAAAAGAATTTGAATCTTGAAGGATGAGTATGAGTTACAACTTTTGATTTTTAGTACCAGAAACCACTGGAGCATGCTGTATCAAAATGAGGAGAATTTATTATATAGAGACAGGGCGTCGCAAAAATTCAAGGGCAACTAAAACTATGGGAGTGAGAGTGGTGTCTGGCTCTCTATGCCTTCTGTTTCTCTTCATATGTCTGCTTCATTCTTTCCTAGTTAGTTTTCTGCCACTCAGTCACATTAGAGGAAAATGGTTCACCCACAGTTACTAAGTTGCATGCTACAGATCAGACCACAAAGTCATATTTTTCCTCAGTCCACAAAGAAAGGAGTCTGACAGTTCTTTCCTGGTCCAACCAACTGTGATGATGAGAATAGGGTCACCTTACAAACATGGCTATGGGGAGGCAGGGATAGGGAGCGAATATTTAATGATGTATTTTGAGCTGAGCATTTACTCCAAAAGGCAAGTCTACTATAGTGTACAAAAATGTACATACATAAATAAACATGTAATTCAGGAAGCTAAACAGCACTTGGTTGTGATTTCTGAAAGCATGTGAGCTTCTCTAAGATCCTCTGCCCTTAGGTTCGTTTCTCTAAAAGCAGAACCTGACACAGGGATTGGGATGCATGTCAATTATCAAGGGAGTGCCTTGATAGTAAGGGAAAATAGTAAGGGAAAGAGTTAAGCAGGATTGGGAAGAAGAAAGAGCCAAGGAAGAGTCTCAGGTAAAGTCCAGTCATGGCCTGATCTACAAGGCTCCTTTGCAGAGTTTTCACCCTTTGATGTGAGAAAGTGGACTTTTTATATTCCCTTAGTAGTCAGTTATTGAGAGGGATGCCTAGAATTCTGTCCTAGATCAGGAGGAATTTTAGGAAGATTTACATATATGAAAAAATAATGAGACATAAGAGCATTAAACTAGTGTACCATACTGGAGATTTCAGAGGACAGTCATAGAATTAAACGCTAGTAAAATACTCCAAAAACTTGATAATGGTGCTTAATATCTTTGCTCATTTATTGAGTGGGGTTTGAAAGAATTTCCACCAACACCAAGGGAAGTTGAAGAGATAACAATGATAAATTGTTCTAAATAACATAAAGCAAAGACTAAAAGAAATACCAACGATATCGTGTTGCTAATAGGCAGATCCACTAGACAAGAATGGGAAGGGAAAGCCACAGAGTCCTTTGCCTACACATTCGTTTCCTTGGTGCAAGTGGGTATTGTTCTGTACCCCATGGCAGGATTAGAAATACCGCCAGGGAACAAGTACACAAAGTTGTTATGGAAACCAGAATGCTTCAGCTCAGAGTTATTTACAGGGAACTTTCAGGATTATCACATTCAATAAAACCAACGGTTTGGCTCCACTCAGTACCAATGCAGCCCAATCAAGAATCTATTTTGAAGGGTCCTTCAATCAGCTAGACTCAAGAATTAGTGGATGGGAGTCCCATGGCAAAGTGTAATTTGTGTGTCATTTCTGTATTATGTATTTGATGCTTGTTTGCACTTGCCCCAACCATTGTGCTAGTTTCCGTAGTATAAGAACAAGGTAGCTGTGGATGGCTACCATGGGTGGGGAAAGACTTCCTCCCACGTAACTACTGTCTGTGTTGCCCAATACTGGGAGACTGCAGGACTTGTCTCTTCACATTCAACTCACTTTGAGGCTTGGCAGTAACCACTTGCCTCTGGCAATCATTTTTGTTCTTAATTGTGAATTGGAATTTTTCCACTATCCAAGAGGATCTTTGCAAAAAGTTGTGGAGTTTGTTTTCTGCCTTTTTTGTTGTTGTTGAGAAAATGAGGATTTTCATCGCCTTTGAAGGATCGTTTGAACCGTTTGATGTTTCAGCAGATGAAACTGTAGGGGCTGTCAAGCTGATGATACAGGTATGTACTTCATTCCTGAGCTACTAAAATGTGTATTAATTTTAACTATGCAGCAAAGTTTAAGCTGCACATGGGTAGAGGTACTATTAGGTACATTTTCAGCAAACACGGAACTGATAGTCTTTGAAAATATTTGCTTACACAATACCTTGATAAGAAGATAGTAACTATACTTCAATTTAAGAAAAAAGAAGATAATAACTATAGAGGTGTTAGGAAAACAATCCTACAATTGCAAAATATGCAAATTCTCAGGAAAAAAAAGTTTTCAATTTCTCTTTATGAAATCTGTAGGTTGTGCATAGGCCATATAGTATTACTGCAATTCTTCATAAAAGGACAAAAACAGGACATTAACTCTAGGCTAGATAAGTGGAGCATGCCAACTGTCAGGTAGATGGCTTGTTTACTGAGCAAGCAGCTATGAAAAAAACCAAAGGATTTTGTAGGTGGACAGAACTTTCAAGAACTTCTGGGGTTTAGCCTTATTTTGCATTCAGGGAAACTAAAGCTCAGAGAGGTTGACCATCTTACCTAGGATCAGAGAAACAAAATTAGAAATAATTTGAGTGCAATATCTTTCTTAGAGGTTTCTTATAAATATCTACTCTAAAATAGGAAATTAAGACAAATATTTAGGTCCTGACCATCAAACAGTATTTAACTGGAGATGATCATTCCCATTTGCTAGGTAGCATCTATTGAATTATACTTACAAGATATATTCAGTAGATTACTGTGATCACTGAAATCTAGATCTTCTAATACAGAGGCTCTTAAACTTTATGCCTCATGGATCCCTTTGGCTGTCTGGTGAAGCTTATGGACTCCTCAGAATGTCTTTAAATGCATAAAATAAAATACATTCAAAGAAAAGGAACCCAGTTATACTGAAATATAATTTTCAAACATTAAAAGACAAATTTGTGATATAGCAACATGTGGGCTTCTTTGTTAATACATTAACAAATTCTAGCAGTGTATCTAATAACCATTGTCATTTCAAAGTAGTGATCAATACATTTTGAGATATCTGCAACAGTTGTAATGTGATGTGAAAATACCTATGATTTCTACTGGTGACAAAGTCATAGGTACAGCCAACTACAACTATTTTAGTTTGTTGTCTACATGCATAATTGAAAGAAAATCTCAATTTCATTTACAGTTAATAAAAATAAAACTTTTTCCCATTTATTTATTCTATCCATAAGCTTTTGGTGAAGGCTATATAGAGTCCAAGAAGCCCTGTCTAAGACTTTTTCCTCCATCACAAACAATTTTACAATGCTCAGTGGAAAAGATGTAAAAGAAAAAATATTACATTGCTGGTCTAGTACCATAGAGATGTACTGTTTTCATGATTTGCTGTTGATTTTTAAGGATTATTTCCATATTAGTCTGTCTGAAGATGAACAAGGCAGGCGGTATCTGGAGCTGATATATGCTGGAGCACCCCTAAAGGACAGCTGGAGTCTTGCTGATGTTGGAATATCTTTTTGTTCAACTCTCAAATGCTCTGTTAAGGTATGATGATCAGAATAACATTTGTCCAAGATGTCTACTTCATTTTGAATAAAATTATGGATAATTCAAAGGTAGTAATTTTATAAATTAAGAGGAGAAACCTGTTCTTGCCTTCTCTCACCTTCTCTCTCTCCCACGTGTGTAACTGGCCTTATGCACAACTTGTGCTATAAAGGGAAGTAAGGAGTGGAGACTGGATAGTTTCCTTTGTTTACTCTTTCCCTCCCTTCCCTCACCCATAATTCTTGTTGCCTGCGCCAAACGGTCATCACACAGCAACCCACAAACCAATATTAGAACAAGGCCAAAGGGTGGATCATTAATGTGGGAGAAAGATTAGATCACTTCAGTTGGTCCACAATAGATTAGGGACAGTGGAGTGAGGAAGGGAAGAGAGGAAGGGAAGAAATTCTCAGTAATAATAAGAATGAAGGGGTAGTTTTTACATCCAAATCCAGCCCAAGTAGCTATTCATGAATTAGGTGTACATACAAAAGAAATAGTCTTTTCCATTTATAGGTTCTTTAATTAGTGTTGCTTAACTTGGGGTCCATGGGTGGGCTTTAAAAACTTTACAGAATCCTACAATTGCAAAATATGCAAAATGGAGATTTTCTAGATGGAGAACTCTTAACTTTAGGAAATTTTTTTAAAGAGACAAGTAGGCTAAAGAGTTTAAGGGCTGTTCTCTGGGGGTAGGAACATTAGTCAATACTAGTTCTTTACCCTGTAAGAAAACATGAGTCTCAGGGAATTTAGTAAAGCATATATTTTCTGCTAAACAGCATTAATTTTCTCATATTTAACATTTTAAGGAAATGTCATGGTAGCCAAAGCTCTTTTTGTTTTAATATGTTTTAGTGATTGTCTAAGTGGGAAGTCTATGTTTAAAAGGAATCCCCTAAAATATTTATTATTAAGTAGTAAAGACAAGTTACAGAAAAATAAGTATTATATGATTCCATTTATGTAAATAAAAAGACTGCATTGTGTATGTATTAATGTTTTATGAGCATTTACTCATGTACTATTTTTATATTCTTGAAGAAAGTTTAATTATCAAAAAGAAATAAAAACAACTTCTCTCCTTCAGACTCCAAAAATTATAGTATAATATAGTACTTTTTAAAGAAGACTAAGTTCCATGTCATTTCTTAAATGTCTTTTATGTCTTTAAATATATTTGTATACTGGGCTTTTGAAACTGTACAGGATAAACCATCTAAAATTTCTTGGATTTTCCAATGCCAAAAATGATGTTCAAAAGTTTTTCTTGTTTGCTTACTTGGAGATAGTGGTAGAAATTCATTACTAAAATTTGAGATGGCTGGAGAAATGTGATTAAGTTATGGTTATTGAGGGATGGTGTGTTAAAAGAATTAAGATTCTATTATTTAACTAAGCACTGACTTTTTCTTTAAAAAATTAAATTTTTCTTTATCTTTGAGTAAGTACATTCAATTGCTACTCAATTCAGAAGATCAGAAAAAGAAACAAAGTAAAAAGTCTCCCTCCAACCTCTGGCACCCAGTTTCCCTCCCCAGAGGCAATGTATGTTTATAATTTTACTTGTAAAAATATTTCATAAATTTTGCCAGTAAAGCATCAGTTAGCATAGTGATGCAAGCTGCCTTTGCACTGAACCCTAAACCTTCCCTGGAGTTTAAACTGCTAATGAAAGAAACAAGAGTCTAGAGGCAATGGGCCTATTCAAGAAACGCAGACTAGAACCAGGCATCACAGAACTGGCCAACAGGTAGAGTTTAATTAAAAACTCTCAGATTCCATGGAAATCTTACTGATCCTAATCTTCACCTTCTCCAGTGGAACCACTTTTAGAGAATTTCTTATCACTGGTTTGGGGGAGGGAAATAATACTATGAGTCTGATGGAAGAGAATTACCTGCAAAGGCCATATATATTGGTTTCCATCCTAACTTAGCTCCTGTTTAGTTAGATAATAAAAAACAGGTCTTTTCTAAAAATCCACACTATTTACTATGTGTGTATGATAACAGTACAAAATGGGCTTACAACAAAAATACTTCATGAAAATGTTCCATGCCCTAAGGACTGCAGTCATAGCAGCTCTATGCTGTTTGCTCTACCTTAGGTAACCAAAGGCTGCCTTCTACGGCATGTTGTTGATTTATTGCATAATTAGATATATGCAAATTTAAGTAGAACCTTTCATATTCAACCATGTTGCTGCATGTAATTAGATCTATCTTCTGAAAATCTAGAAAGTTAGAGTCTATTTTGGTACAACTTAGAAATATCAAGCTATTAACCAACTTTGGGATAGTTTAAAACTTCAAGTAAGCAATTTCTTGTTTTAAAATGATACAAGTAGATATTATGAGTCATGAAATAAGTCCAAAATATTTGGTTTCTTTATGGTCCTTATATTTCTGTGTGGATATGAGGTTTTGCTTGTGTGAAAAGAAGGAAAGACAGATACAGTAAGAGGCGATCTGCTCTTAAATACATATTTTAAATAGTCAATACATTTTCCAGTTTCCCTGAGTTTTACACCTTCTTTAATGGTAATGGAGTCACCTTTGGAAAAATGAAGAGGGGAGTGACCTAAGAATAGTGAAGAAAGAACATTGCATTAATTTTTCCTTCTTTGGTAAAAAACTACAGAGACTATAAGAAATATTTTCTATGGTACATAAGTACAAGTTCTATTAACACACGAGTCAGTCCCACCCATTCACCACGGCCCTGCTGCAGTTTGCTGTGTTCCCATAAAACACAGCATGCGTTCCCATAAAGCACAGCGCGTGGCATGGCAGAGGCCCAGGTTGTCGTCCAGCACGTGGAGGTGCCGATGCATTTTCCTCCTCCATTCTCACCCGTGTCGTTGTGGAAACCATTGCTTAAATTTTGCACTGTCTTCACCCAGTGCCTAGAATAGTACTTGGCACATGTTAGGCTTTCCATTAATATGTGTTAAATAAATGAGATGATAAAGGCTTGGAGAGGTAAAGTATGAAAATTAACAAGAAAGTATGTGATTGTTGTCAGAAATGTCCCAGCAAGGTATTGAGGCATTTCAGGGTTGGATTCCCTCCCTTAGCGTGGCCTCTCTGTCCTCTCTACCCTGAAGACAAGGCGCTCCTGTATCCTATCCCTATCCCTTAGTTGCAAGCAGCAGAAAGGAACCCTGAACAATTTAAGCAGAAAGTGAACATATTGGAAAGCTATGAGTATAGTCTTTACAGGAAGATTGGAGAATCGGCTCAGAGATTATGCAGCCAGAAACAATACCTAAATTATGCCCCAGACCTAGTCAAGGCCCCACCACCTGCAGCCATCCCTGAGCCCTTGAAGTGGGCCTTGGATGCGGTGGCCAACCCTGCTGCCAGGCCAGCAATGCTTCAGGTCGGCCCCTGCCAGGGAGGATTCCCTGTGTCGGCTGCTTCTCTGCCTTACTGGGTTCTAATTCAAAGTGGGGTGGATGGGTGGGCCTGACGGGGAGTACCCTAGTCACAAGTCTGGGCCCTGATATAAAGGGGACTGAGAAGCAACTGGCAGGTTTGCCTCCTATAAAGTGTGAGGTGGGCTCAGGCTCCCACCACAACTTGTGGTTTCCCTGCCTCCTTCAATCACTTACTACCAACAACCTGGACTGGGGTTAAGATTTTATTTCCCTTTCTGGGATCCTTGGAATGGGCTAGGGTTAAAACTTCATTAATCTTTTCTGGCATCCTTGGAATGTTGTTTTACAGGAAGAGATTGGCTTAATTGTGTTAGAACTGAGTAGATGTCTATCAGACAAGTTGGAGAAGTTTGAACTTTATTAGTAAGTCTAAAATTGATTTAAAGTACATTTTAGCTTTTGAAAACACTGTTAATGTATAAACACCAAAATCCAAGAGACACATAATATGTGAATTTAGGTTTTAAATACATTTTATACACAAAAACATGTATAAACCTGCTTCTTAAAAATGTATAACTTAGAAATGAAAACATGTTCCTAAAAAATGGCTATTTCTTCTAAGGTGAATGATAAAGGCTTGGAGAGGTAAAGTATGAAAATTAACAAGAAAGTATGTGATTGTTGTCAGAAATGTCCCAGCAAGGTATTGAGGCATTTCAGGGTTGGATTCCCTCCCTTAGCGTGGCCTCTCTGTCCTCTCTACCCTGAAGACAAGGCGCTCCTGTATCCTATCCCTATCCCTTAGTTGCAAGCAGCAGAAAGGAACCCTGAACAATTTAAGCAGAAAGTGAACATATTGGAAAGCTATGAGTATAGTCTTTACAGGAAGATTGGAGAATCGGCTCAGAGATTATGCAGCCAGAAACAATACCTAAATTATGCCCCAGACCTAGTCAAGGCCCCACCACCTGCAGCCATCCCTGAGCCCTTGAAGTGGGCCTTGGATGCGGTGGCCAACCCTGCTGCCAGGCCAGCAATGCTTCAGGTCGGCCCCTGCCAGGGAGGATTCCCTGTGTCGGCTGCTTCTCTGCCTTACTGGGTTCTAATTCAAAGTGGGGTGGATGGGTGGGCCTGACGGGGAGTACCCTAGTCACAAGTCTGGGCCCTGATATAAAGGGGACTGAGAAGCAACTGGCAGGTTTGCCTCCTATAAAGTGTGAGGTGGGCTCAGGCTCCCACCACAACTTGTGGTTTCCCTGCCTCCTTCAATCACTTACTACCAACAACCTGGACTGGGGTTAAGATTTTATTTCCCTTTCTGGGATCCTTGGAATGGGCTAGGGTTAAAACTTCATTAATCTTTTCTGGCATCCTTGGAATGTTGTTTTACAGGAAGAGATTGGCTTAATTGTGTTAGAACTGAGTAGATGTCTATCAGACAAGTTGGAGAAGTTTGAACTTTATTAGTAAGTCTAAAATTGATTTAAAGTACATTTTAGCTTTTGAAAACACTGTTAATGTATAAACACCAAAATCCAAGAGACACATAATATGTGAATTTAGGTTTTAAATACATTTTATACACAAAAACATGTATAAACCTGCTTCTTAAAAATGTATAACTTAGAAATGAAAACATGTTCCTAAAAAATGGCTATTTCTTCTAAGGTGAATAGAAAGAATTTAGTGAAGAAAAGTTGCAATTAAGTGTCCTAGACTCCACAGATAACATCTCCAGGATGACTATCATACAAAAAGAGGAGTTTATGAAGACATCATAACTTTAATTAATTCAGTTCAACAAAAACAGACCTGATTTCCTCTTTTGGTCTCCTCTGGAATAGTTAGGATAAGTTTCTGCTTATTTGGAGTTCTACTGTAACTCCAAAGCAGCAAAACCAAAAAAGCAGAACTTGTGAAAAAAGTACAGCAGTGTGAGAAGTGACTTGTGGTTGCCATGGGGGAGGGGTTGGGGTTGGGGAAGGAGATAAAGGGGCACAGAAATTCTCAAGCATAGTATCAGTTGGTCATGGAGATGATCACATCATGGAGAACATAGCCAATGCTTCTGTAAGATTATCCTATGTTGACAGATAGTAACCACACTAGAGGGAGTGAGGATTTAATAATATGGGTAACTGGTGAGCCACTCTATATACTTGAAACCAATTAAGATTGTATATTAACTATACTTCAATTTAAAAAGAAAGGACCTTCCAAAAGAGAAGTACAGCAGTGTTCAGAATCTGCATTAACTTCCGTTTTCTTTCTGTTTCTCTTTAACTTTTCCTCTTTTATTATTAACGCCCATTTACGTATTTACAGTGAGTTTGACTTTTTTTAAGAAGCAAGTAGAATTATTCTATGAAGTAAATCTCTGTATTTTATTGAAAGGTAAGACACTTTGCATGTACCTCCTACCATGGTATCTTGATGTATTTGTGAAGGAAAAATTCTAATTTTACTTATGTCTGACAATGATTTGTGTATGGTATTGTCTATTTAGTAGCACCTGAGTTCCTAGTAACTAACATTGTTCCCTTATTCAGAATATCTGAGGAGAGGTATCTTATAGCCAGATACCTTCTCTTATGTCAATAATGTGAGTTAGCAAGTTGCTGTTAATCAGCATCTACCTGGTCCCTCTCCATCTAACCAACATGAAGAAATGTCTCCAACTGGTGTGCTTCCTCTGAACTTAAAATGCATTTTCCCATAAAAATAATAAGGTATATAAAATGGTGGATATACAGAATTAAAATAGTGCAAAGAGAACTACGTGACAAATACATTAAGAATTAAATGGGCCAGATGCTAAAAAAAAAAAAACATGAACACGGTTGTTAGTTTTCTTGAGACTTACTTTCTTGCACTTTTGACTTTCAGCTAGATGGCCAGATATTTTGCAATTGCTTCTTATTACTTGTTTCAGAGCTTTATGTATACTTACGTCATAGATGCTTATTCATATTCTGAGAAGCTCCCTTTTAACTTACCTTACTTCCTAACATCAAATAGTAGCTAGTTAACTCCTAAGAGTCACTTGCTCTTTTGCTACTTTGCGTGGAGCCATAACAAGGCATAGTACTAAAGAGAAATCAGAGTATTCATGAAAGAAATAAAGAACAGCTATTATATAAAATAGAATTTTTCTCTCTTCCCCTCTTTTTACTCAGTTTTCATAGGAATTTCTTCCTACCCAGAAGTATCACATGGATTGGTTAATGGAGCCATAGGAAAGCCAGAGTATGGTGGAAGGAAAAGGGTGAATCCCAGGTCCTTTCACTTTTTACTGAACAGGTTTTGGACAAGCTGTTTAGAAAGATTATTCTAACTAAGCACTGTAGACTCAGGGGGCAGTTCAGCTTGCTGGATGGCTTTATGCTCCGCAGAAGAGTGCCGGAACCTGCTCCCAGCCATCTGAGTCACTGAATGGGCCCTAGATCAAAGCATTGCACTTTAGAACTCTAAGTTTTCATCAATATCATCACTCCTTAAAGTCTCTTTCAAAGAGATCTGGATGTTGACGATATTATGGCAATGTGTTATCCAGGAAGAGGGGAGTGAACTTAATGTATTATCAACCTGAAGGCAGGGAGGGGCCCCTGAAGAAACTGCAGATGGATGGGAGGAGGAGGAGGGGAACAAGGGTGGAGCAAGGAAGCAGTGACTGCCTGGAGCCCCCTTGAGCAGCTGCAGGCCACGTGCCCACTCTTCAGGTTTGATCAAGGCCCCCCTCGGGGAGTCCCATGCCCCCGGGCACTCAGTGGGACATTGCGCACTCCCGGCTGCCAAGGCAAAACCAAAGCATTGAAGACAAGTAGGACTGTCCACAGTCTGCTGAAGAGGATATTGAGCCAGTTTCATTTTTCTGTTTAAAAAGTGAAAATATTTATAATCTTCTCCTCTCCTCCCCTGCCCTCCATTTTTCCTGTTTGCTGTGTTTTTAATTTTGGTTTGGCTTGCTTTACCTGTTGTTTACAGAAGGATTAGTATTTTCCCCAAACTTTCCATCTTAATTCTACCTCAGATATATCAGTTCCATTTGCTTTCCTATTTCAGAAAAAAAGGAACAAAGGAAACGTTTTTTCACTCATATTTAGAACTTCCCTTTTTAAATAGTAAAAACAAATATACATGGTTATTTTTTTAAAAGTCAGACCATACTGACAATGTAGAGCATAAAAGCATAAACAAAACTCCCCTCCCACCCAGAACTCAGTTCCACTCTCCAGAGATAACCTCTCAGAGAGGATTTTTAGAAACTGAAGGTTTAGAATCCACAGTACTTCCCAACTAAAGCTCAGTACAATGGAGGAGCTGTTTCTAACCTAACACCTTCATAAGCATAGCCTGGATATAAGTTATCAACATTCCTCTTGTGTATCAGGGTCTGTAGACTAAGAAGAAAGGTCTCAAAGCCCTCCCAAGTCTCCTTCATTTACTCAAAACAGGAGGCCTCATTAATACCCTCAGGAGAGAAGAGCAAGGCTCAGACCAGAAGTCAGGGAACTTAGCTGGCCTGTGATTTCATCCTCAGCACCCTGTTGTGGGAGCTAGAGGCACTCAGAGCCACCCTCTGAAATGTCTGTCCCCAGTCCCAACCTCCAGATAGTCCTTAATCCTGAGTTCCCTCTTTTCTCTCCCTTTAGGAAGAAAATAAGCCAACTCTCTATGTGTTCAATGCTGTGACCCAAGAGATAATGCCGATGATGGAGAGCATTTCTTTTCTTGGTAAAAAAGTGTCTGATCTGAGGACAATGGTATCTCTGAGATGTGGCTTCCCTGTGAGTGTCTTCTGTCTCCGGACCCCAAAAGGACTGGAGATGTATGACTGCAACACCCTCGGGGACTACAAGGTGGCCATCGGTACTGCCCACCACGTGTGATATGAGCTACTACTCAGCGCTAGGGTTCTTTGATACCAGATTTGCCACCAATGGATAAATTGTTTCTAAACTAAAACCTCTGCAATCGCAGTGGGGCTGTAAATTAGCAACACCCTTTTCTGGTGTCTGGGTCTCTAGTAAGAAAGATAAGGCCCCATATCTTGTTCTCTTTACTCAAAGCAGAAGAACTTGATAATATCCTCAGGATGAAAGAGTGAGATTCATACCAGCTTATATTTTTCTCTTTCAAAATACATTTTGAGTATATATAGAAATAAGTTCAAATACATATTCTTTTCCCTCTTTTTAACACAAGTGGTAGCATATGATACACACTGTTCTGAATCTTGCTTTATGAAATCTCATTTAAAAATATCATCAGTTATATTAAACAGCTTTAAACAGTGTGAAGCCAAAACTTCAGGCTGAACCACTGCCTCGGTGAACTGGCATTCACCCTGGATGGACACATTACAACTCTCTTTAAATATGCTTCTTCTAGGTCATGTCTGCCATAACCATACACCATTAAGACAAAGTCAAAGCATTATCAGATGTATTTTAACCATATTGGAAAATGGTTCAAGCCTTGTAGAGATTCTTGCCTGAGGTGAATGAGTCTCTGCTGACAATCTGCACATCTTTAGGTGACGTACTATGACATTTGTTGCGATGGAATTTGAGTCCTCCCAATTTACAGCAGGGTTCTGTAGAGTTAAATAGTTTTGCTTTTTAGAATTGTTAAATTTGCATATATTGTTACTTCCTATTATACTGGCTTATTCTCTCATGTTATTTTTAATTGAGGGCTCTCAGAGCTTTGCCATCAATTATCATCCTTGTTTTTGATCAGAGGAAGAGATGTTCTAGGATTTGTCCCCAGAGCACCTCACTGTACAGCAATTACCTGCTCTGTGTTCGTGCTGGGGATCAGCTCTGCCCAGAACACAGTGGGGCTTATGTGAGTAAGGGCACTCAAGGGGTATTTATCCCCAAGCAACTTATGATCTACCACTTTAATGAAATAACAAAGGAGAAAGGAGAAAACTAGCGTGACTGCTTTTCAGGCCTCTGCTATTCAGATTGTGACATAACATTTTAGAGCTGAAAAATAATTTCGAAATGGTGTAGCCCAACCTCAAATCTTTATATATTTAAAGAAAGCCAAAAGGTTCTGAATGGTTAAGTGACTTGCTCAGGTGGCGTCAAGGACAACACATTAGCCCCTTAAAATGACCCACCAGCAGTGAAGGTTTTCAAACGTCAGGTTACAGGCTAGAGCAGGAATAGGGTCGACTGCTTTGGCCACCGTGAGAACACAGAGCATGAGGAGAAGCCAGGAGAGAACAGGGAAAGGGACGGAAGGAAGAGTCTTCGGCCTGCTTTGCATCTTTTTTTTTTAAGGTTTTATTGATATACACTCTTACGAAGGTTTTACATGAAAAAGCAATGTGGTTACTACATCTACCCATATTATCAAGTCACCCCCCATACCCCAATGCAGGCACTGTCCATCAGTGTAGTAAGATACCACAGATTCACCATGTGCCTTCTCTGTGCTACAGTTTTCCCCGTGACCCCCCCACACCATGTGTACTAAACATAATACCCCACAATCCCTTTCTCCCTCCCTCCCCATCCACCTTCCCCTCCCCTTTGGTAACTGCTAGTCCCTTCTAGGAGTCTATGAGTCTGCTGCTGTTTTGTTCCTTCAGTTTTGCTTTGTTGTTTTACTCCACAAGTGAATGAGGTCATTTGGTACTTGTCTTTCTCCGCCTGGCATATTTCACTGAGCATAATGCCCTCTAGCTCCATCCATGTTGTTGCAAATGGTAGGATTTGTTTTCTTCTTATGGCTGAATAATATTTCATTGTGTATATATACCTCCTCTTCTTTATCCATTCATCTACTGATGGACACTTAGGTTGCTTCCATATCTTGGCTATTGTAAAAAGTGCTGCAATAAACATAGCAGTGCATATGTGTTTTTGAATCTGAGAAGTTGTATTCTTTGGGTAAATTCCAAGGAGTGGGTTTCCCGGGTTAAATGGTATTTCTATTTTTAGCTTTTTGAGGAACCTCCATATTGCTTTCCACAATGGTTGAACTAGCTTACATTCCCACCAGCAGTGTAGGAAGGTTCCCCTTTCTCTGCATCCTTGCCAGCATTTGTTGTTTTTAGTCTTTTCGATGCTGGCCATCCTTACTGGGGTGAGGTGATATGTCATTGTGGTTTTAATTTGCATTTCCCTGATGATTAGTGATGTGGAGTGGCCTGCTTTGCATCTTATCTTTACCTGAAGCACCCCTAGCATTCCTTAAGTAGCCAGGCCACCTTTTTTAACTGGAGGGTGAAGAAGTCCTTGATCAGCCTCTCTGCCAGGTTCTCCTCTTTGCTGTCAATGAGTCATCCCCTGGTGCTGTCAGAAATTGAACCTTGGCCCTTTTCCAAAGACAATGGAAGACCAGAAGGTTTTGGAGAAGCAGTTAAGCTTAGATTGAAAATCAAAGATTTAGGTAGTTCAATTAGTCACTGCACCTACTAGCTGCAGAGAAATACACAAAACTGCTTCTGCACACCGGGCATTTAGGGTGAGGTGGGAACAACAAGACATGCACATACACTCAGTTATGATCCAGCGAGCCAGTTCAGTGCGGGCCGAGGGGCCCAAGGGAAAGCATTCTGGAGAATGTTGGGCCTGAGCACACAAATATGTGGGATATATGAACCATCTGAGAGGTGGAAGGGAAAAACATTCCAGGCTTCCAGCCAGGAGAAAAACATGAGCCACAGGTTCATGAACATGGGCATAATCCAGGGAAGACAGAAAGCAGGAGACAGTTCTGAAGAGCAGAGAAGCCTCGCTGGGATCTGTGGGAAAGAGCTGAGGTCAGACTGAGGAGCGTTTCAGGGGCGAGGCAACAGGGTGCAACCCTCATGTGCTTGTAACCAGAGCCATGTCCATTCTGGAACAGGACTGTTTTAATAGACGTTTAATCTGGCAGCCAGCAGCATGAAATATAAAGGAGTGAGGAGGACTGACAGCAGGGAGATACGCTAACTGGTGCTTTTGGTAATGCCCATATTAACTAATTCTCCCAGCAATGGTAGAGACAAATCTAAGACACTCAGAAGAAGAGAAAGAATGGCGTGCAGGATCACATTTAAGAAGAGGGAAACACCGGGGCTCTGATACCAGAACACTGGTTGTGAAGTTGAAAAAGGAACTTATGCTTTGGATCCTAAACTTTACATACAAGGAAATTTAGAGTACATTTTTTTTCCTGAAAGTTACTCTTAGTGGAAAAGCTGTAAGTACAACTAACGTCTTCTAATTTTCCTCCGTAACAAACATGGAGCTGAGACCTGAGTAATGGGCTGGGTTAGGAAATACTGCTGTTGGCATCCTGCCCATGGAGTTGGGGGCCCAGCCCTATGAGAGGTGTTTTCTTAGAGTGGGACACATCAAGGGCCAGTGCTCCAGACATGCCGAAGGCAGGGCTAGGATACGAGGAAACAGGGGAGCTGTCAGAGTCAGGAGAACTGGGACTTTGCATTGTCACAGAAGACAAAGAAAAAACTGTGTTCAGGCTGCTGGTAAAAAGCCAAAGATGATGTATGAGAAGAACATTTGATGTGGCTTAAAGGTCATTGGTGAGCTCAGAGAGAGAAGTTTTAATAAAATGGATGGAGACAAGAAGATTACAGAGATTAAGAAGATAAGTAATAAGGGAATAAAGGGTTTCTTTGGTGGTAGAATATTTGATAGTTAACTTATAAGGAATTTATCAAAGCTACACATCCCCCAATATGTGTGATTTTATGATTTTGTGACTTGAGGTTTAGTGTCACGATATTAAGTCCAAGACACACCCACTCCTATTCTTGTATCAACCTATGTGGGACAGATGTTTATTTTAACCCTATTTCTGGTTCTTAAATCTACCTTGGCTTTTGCTTTCCTCCTGCTTATCTATGTACTGGTCTTCTTGTTGTTCTGTCTATATTTAATATATGCTTATAAATTGACATTAGTCCTTTCTGGAACAAGGTGTACCTAAACAAATGAGTGAGTGAATGAAGGACTTTCCTTTACAGGATGGTGCCATGGGTACATTTCATTGTAAATGCCTCATGTGTTCATAGCCAGATGGAGCACATAATACCTGAGGGACTGTTCCAGGAGCAGGAACAGCTTAGACCCAGGAATCTGGGCTGGCTCCAGGGTCCCTCTACCAGGCATAGGCCCCTTGGAAACCTACTGTGTCATTTTAATTTCTTTTATAAATAAGAATACTCAGGCTCAAAGAAGTTAAGTGACCTGCTGAAGGGCATACCACTAATAAATGGTAATCACACACTCAGGATTGGGTTTTTCCCAACAATTTATACTGTATGCTCTTTATTGATTCCTATATTTATTGGTGCTCTTTAAGTTCTGATCAATGTTTTGGTTTGTTTCCTGGTAGGGGAAACCCAAATCAGAGAAATGGTTTCCACATTCAAGAAGAAAAAGCCCAAATCAGACAGGCAGATACTGACCCCAGAGAGTGAAAAAGGAATCCAGAAACTTAGGATACAGGGACCACATGAGGAGAGATTGAAGACAATTCCCCAGAATAGGCACTGTTGCTTGCAGCTACTTCCCTGCCTGCTTGGCATGGTAGTGGGGGTTGCAAGTAGAGGGATCTAAGAGAGATTTTGTAAATACATACAATTCTGTGGTCCTCTTTAGAAAAGTAATCCAAAATTATGAATAAAGAATTAGAATGCTCATGCAGGAAGAGGCCCTGAAGCTTAATTAAGTGTCATTAATTTTACTTTCATTTTGGCTAGAAATTTTAGTTATATTTCCTGGAGCAACATAGTGTTTTTTGAGTAAATTTCTATTTCCCACAGAATTCCTAAGCTTATGAAGAAATTTAATGTTTTACAAAGGAGGCATGACAAATCAATTGGGATGGAAGATTGTCCAATA